GTTGACTTCGGCCTGAGTGTAGGTCTCCGCCTTTTCGTAACTGTCGCAGTCGATCTCCAGAGTGTCTGTGTTGTTCTGCAGGCTGGCGCTCAAAGGCCCGGCGAAGTGCAGGTTCCGCAGCACGTTGCTGCCCTTCAACAGCTCCCAGGTGGGCGGGTTGGCGCCCCAGGCCGGCGCATTCGACAGAGCCACAGGCACCAAGGCGGCTGTGATGGCCGCGTCTGTCTGCGCCGACGTGTAGTAAGGCGACAAGTCGATGCCGGCCACGGCCGTGGCGATCTCGCTATCCACCTGCGCAGCTGTGTAGTATTGCGCCAAGGCTGCAGCAATTGTCGCGCTTGTTTCTGTTGTAGTGCTGTAGGCCGTCAATGCCGCCGCAACGGCGGCGTTTCGCTGTGCCGCTGTTTCGTAAGGCACCAAGGCGGCAGCTATTGCCGCGTCTGCTTGTGCGATGCTGTAAGAGTCGCAGGCCAGGCTCAAGGTGAAGTTGTCGTTCTGCAGGCTCACGCTGAGGGGCGCGTTGAAGTGCAAATTGCGCAGGGTGATCTCGCCGGACCAGGCCTGCGCGTTGATCAAGTTGCTGCCGCCGCCGGTTGTCAAGGCTGCCAGTTGAGCGAGGATGGCGTTTATGGCGCTCTGCAGGCTGGTTTCGGCAGCAGTCAGGTCTGAGGACGTGGCAAAGGGGCCTGCAGATTGCAAGGCCAGGATGTCGGCGTCGTGTCCATCCAGCCTGCTGTCCCTGACTGCCAGCGCAGCGTCCAGGCCCGTCTGCTGCACGTAGGGTAGGAGCGCCGAGGCGAGGGCGCTTGCCACCTGAGCCGAGGTCTGGTAGCCCGCCGCCTGCAAGGCGGCCACGGAGGCTTCGGCAGAGTCCAGCCTGCCGTCCCGCACCGCCAGCAAGGAGTTGAGACCGGCGGTGTCGGTGTAAGGGAGCAGTGCCGTCGTGATGGCGCTGGCCACCTGGGGCCGTTTGGAAGCCCGCCGCTTGCAAGGTTGCTATGGACGCGTCAGCGCCGTCCAGCCTCCCATCTCGCAAGGCCAGGGCCGCGTCCAAAGCGACTTGGGTCACATATGTTAGCAGGGCCGTGGTCACCCTTTGATCGACGTCTGCAAGCGTGGTCTTCAAGTTGGCTGCGGCCGTCAAGTCGGTGGTGCTGGGAGGGTCCAGAAGCGCCGTGGCAATCTTCTGATCCACGTCGGGCCCCGACTGCTTGGAGGCCAGGTCCAAGGCGAGCTGGTCCCGTTCGAAGGGCATAGTTTGATGCCACGCTGGCCAGGGTTGCGTTGTTGGCGCTGGTGATGGCCGAATTCATGGCCGCCGTCGTGGAGTAGCTCGCCAGCTTGGCGTCGACGCTCGCCGGAGTGCTCTTGGCGTCCACCTGGAGCTGCAGAGCGTCCAAGGCATGTCTTGCGCCTCGCTGCTGAAGCTCAAGGCGCCGCCGTTGCCGCCTCCGAGCATGTACCTAGCGCCCTCGTAGGCTCCGCCCATCGCGCCCATGCCCAGCCCCAACGCCGCCGCGCCCAACCCACTGACGGCCGCACCACCGGCTCGGCCGATGCCGCGCGCGGCCGAAGCGCCTGCCCTGGCGCCCTCCAGCGCGCCTCCTGCTGCAGCCGCGACTCCGTTGCCCCGAGGCGGGTCCGTCTGCGTGCCTGCTTCTAATCGCCCGGCCCGCCGGCTCCCGCGGCCAGGCCCAAAGCTGCGGGTATGGCCACTTCGGGCGCCAGCGACCGCCGCCGCGCCGCCCAGCCTCTGCGGCGCCTGCCGCGACCGCTGCAAGGCCGCCCGTTTCCGCAGCCGCCGCGCCAGCGCCGGGCGGAGTTCGACGTGGGCGAGACGGTGCACCTGCAGGGCTCCGCCCGCCTGGGTGTCTTCAAGATCAGGGTGGCCGACACCTTCCTGAGCACCGACCGCGGCACCTCACCTGCACTGGAAAGACACCGCCCTCGGCACGCTGAACTGGGCCCAGCTGGTCACGGGCGCCTACACCGGCGTGCGCCTGGCCGCCTGGATCAGCAGCAACTTCACCAGCGCCACCTACGTGGAGTCGCGCAACGAGCTCGAGGTAGCCAACGACGGCAACAGGCGATCCTAATATCAGGAGCTCGTCAGCTAACCGGCAAGGCGCCACGCCCAGCAAGCCCCTCAGCATCGCCGCCTGCTGGGCGCCTTACTCAAAGGTCTACCTTCGCTGCAGCAGCCTGGCCAACG